AGAGAGAGAGAGAGAGAGAGAGAGAGAGAGAGAGAGAGAGAGAGATTATAAAAAGAGCTTCCTTTCTCAAACCAGGCAATTGCCACAGGCCCTGCATCATCGACTGGCTGCTTACTGAGGAATCAGCTTTGATCACTTTGAGCTACGTTTTCCCTCGTGGACATCATCTGAAGAAACAGTCAGTAAGACTTAACCATGAGATCCTAATCAACCTGCTGAATAGTTTTTGATTCTATGTAGCCATGTAAAAGCTGGTTTGATTGTTGCTTCACACAGTGGCTGAACGTTTCTAGCTTGTTTGCCGGGAACATGGATGACCTTCGTTTTGGCTTTTTATTGGCTGGTTTGATCAGCTAGTTATGTTGGTAAATAGGACTGATTAACCTGTTTGCTAACAGGAGGATTGTTGGACCAGTTAACATAACACTAGTCAGTATATTGACTTTATAATCTAACTGCTACACTAATGGATCTTGCTTGAATTTATAAAAAATGGTACTGATTTGATTAACAGCCTCACTTTTTCACACAATTAACAACTTATTTTATAGACAAGATATATTTACTCTTGACTGGTGACTTGCATTTTGTTTGGAGGAAGTCTGGCTTATTGGCTTATATATCTGACTTGCACATTAAGATATTGCTGATTAACAGCATTATTATACAGCTTTCCATTGGTCTGATTGACCGGTTGACTTAATTGACTGAAATTATGCAGCAATTTACTTCCTGAATGGTATATTTATTGTCTCAATGTTTTTATAGTTTGTTTGTTGTTGATTAAAGGTAAGTCAGATATTGTTTTGATTTATGAAATAACATAATGTATTATCTAATCTTAAAATGGGATGAAAAGGTGTTGAAAGGATCTCAACGCAATAAAAAACATTTTCATTCTTTCAACACATTTTAAACTCATCTTAAAATGGACCCTCACATATTTTGTCCATTCTAATTCTAAATAAAATGACACAAAAAAAAACATTTTTTGTTGTTTAGATAAGGACTTTGTCAACTGCCAAAAACAAAGGACCAAGATATCATACTGGGTATGGGAATCACTCAATTGAGATTGAGCACCTTAGGAGTGAGTTTACAAGCTTTGGGGACCCGTTTAGGTGGAATTTTAAGATCAAATCATTGCACCACCATTTTCAGATTTCCTCAGAGATTGGATCTAAGATCATGAGGACTTCAGAAAAGGTTTTCACCCTGAAATTGCTTCATTTTCTATTCGGAAAAGTCCATCCATTCGTGCATCCACTCACCCATCCATCCATCTCCTTTGGCTTATGTGAGTTTGGCTCACTTTGGCAAAAAGGTCCGGTATCTGTCAGTTGCTTCAGGTAACCCAACAGCATATGTAAAAATGCAAATAATCATAAAAATCATGTAAGAGGTCAAAATGGGAGCCTAAATGGGAAGCTCTGTCAAGAAAATAATTACTTTAACAAGAAGAAACCTATGCCATCTACCAAGACCAGCTGGAGTTTGGGAAGACACAAAAGAGGAACAGCGAAAGCAAACTCAAGAAAGCCTTCTGAGAAAGTAAAACAGAAATTGACACGAGCATGGAGAAAAAAGAACATAGTGGGATTAATCATTAATCCCCCTGCAGTGTACGTCTGTAGCAGCATGAATATGTGAGGTTTCAGGGTAAATAAGGAAACTGATTAGCTGGAGAACAACTCTGGTACACGAAAGAAAGTCGCAGAAACCTACTAACAGATATGCAGGAACTTCATCACCACTGGGAGTTGTGAACAACAAGCAAAGTTGGGTCCTGGTGCTTCTTAAAAGGGATGTATATGAGGCCAGATGATCACCAGGTGTGGCAGGAGGAAGCAGCCAGACTCAGTCCAACCAACAACTCAAACTGCGACATTCATAAGCAGCCAAACAGGATCACGACAATACTGTGAAGGGGGAAGAAGTTGATCCTAGAATCATATTTTTATCTTTCAGAATCTATCCTTTGATTCGATGTGTTGCAATGGACTGATTCTGGCGGAAAGCAACCAAAAATTCTTACAAAAGAACTGGAAGCCAAATAAGTACCATCTAGAGTGACTACATAACAATAAAGTCTCTCTGAGTTTCTCAGGTTAAAAGACAACAACTTCAATTTGTCTGAATGTAGTATCAAAGAGTCATCCAGGTCTTCAATGGATTGGTTTCACCTGGTTACATAGATAGGTAGATCAGTGTATCATATATATATAATCAATGTTAACTGTAAAAATAGATACATAAAAACGACAATACTTTATTCATCCTATATGAGGAAAATCCATATTGCCATGTTGCTTGGAATTGGAATATTTATAATGACTATGAAGAAAAAACAAAAGAAGAAAAAACAAAATAAGTAAACGTATGTATTAAATAAAATTGATAAATACAAGAAAAATATAGAATGGAATGGAAGCATATGGGAGGTGAAAAGAACTGGTCCAGCACAGTAGCCTGAAGAACTCCATAGCTTACTTTCTGTGGGAGGAGGATTCTTAATTTACAACAAACTATAATCTATCAGATAATCATGACTCAGACCAGACCGATGCAATAATAAGTTGGAGTTTCTGATGTAGAATGTTGTGATCAGCTGTGTCAAATGCAGCTCTGAGATCCGACAGGACAAGCACAGACACAAGTTCACTATCAGATACTAAAAATGATCATTGGTAACTTTCAGTAGTGCTGTTTCTGTGCCATGATGTGCTGTGAAACTCTTCAAACAGACTATTACGGTGCAAAACTGCGACAGATTTCTAAATGGTTAAAAATAATAAACAAATTACAATTAAACAAAAGCAGTTGATAAATTAAGAAAAATGCACTAATGTAAACATAAAAAATACAATTCATGACAGAAATAATGTTTAAAAGCAAATTTGACATTTTAATTTTGAAATTTGTTTTACTTATTCAAATTCAAATAGTGATAAAACATTTTCTCTTTTTTATTAAAAAAAAACAACTTAAAGTTATATCTGGAAATCCTCTGCAATGAGACAGGCAGAGTGGCCATCATAGACAATGGATGGATGGGTTTTTATCATCTGAGCTGCAAGGAAAAGCAATAATGTAAACGAATGAATACACAATTGGTAAGAATATGACAGCTTTAACTTAGTCATTTAACAAAAATGTTTCCAGAAGTTACGCAGGATGTGTTACAGACCAAGTTTAGTTATTTTAGAGCCGGACTTAAGAGATTGTTACTGATGTCTATGTAGGGTGCAAAGGTAAAACAGTTTAGTTTTGTATCAGTTGTGTCAGAGTGAAGAGTTGGTGTGTGTTTTTATCTTCACATTTCCCTTAGACATACTGTATAATATTATTTCCATTAACTTGTATAGACAGATGAGCGTCTAGGCTGATTTTGTACAGTGAATCATGTTAGATACAAAGAGATCTCTATCAAGTTCTGTTAACGAGGAGTATTGCATGCAAATAATCCATCCATTTTCATAACCGCTTATTCCCTAATGGGGTCGCAGGGCCTTGGAGCCTAATCCAATAGTCAATGGGCGAGAGGCGGGGTACACCCTGGATGGTCTACCAGTCCATAGCAGGGTACACAGAGACACACAAGGACAAACAACCATGCACACTCACACTCACTCCTAAGGGCGATTTGGAAAGTCCACTCATCTTAAAATGCATGTTTTTGGACTGTGGGAGGAAGCCGGAGAACCCGGAGAGAACCCACGCGGACACGGGGAGAATATGCAAACTCCACACAGAAAGGTCTTGTTTCCCCCAGGACTCAAACCCAGAACCTTCTTGCTGGGAGGCGGTAGTGCTAACAGCCACACCACCGTAACGCCCGCATGCAAATCATTGCTTCACAAAATATGCACAAAAGCAAAACCGTTCTGAATGCCAAGCAAATATCTTTGGGTATGAAGTGAATTTTTAACATCTGTTTTTTTTAGGTGCCGAAATGTCCCAGCAATTTGCCCTGTTGCTTCTGACAGGTATACTTCAGAAATACTTCCCTCTATCATTCTGTTTATATCTCACTTTCTCTTATATTTAAATGTTTTTCTCTTTCTTTCTGCCTTTCTCCTTCCTTGTCTTCCTCTCTTGCTTTTGTTTTCTGTCCCATATTTTCCTCCTTTCTCTCTTTCTGTCTTCTTTCTTTTTTCTGTCAATATCAGTTTCTTCCTCTTTCAGATATAAGATATTGTATACAATATAGTAATGTTCTCTCTCTGTTTCTCTTTTTATTAGGCCTTTCCTTGTGTATACCATTGGTTGACTTGGAATTCATTGGTAAGTTTTTATAGCCAGTCAGTCTTTTGGATGGATCTTGAAAAGAACAAAGAAATCCAAGAGCACTGTTGTACGGAATTCATTACCAAATGATTAACAACTAAGTTGAACTAAGAACTAAGAACTAACTAAGTTCTACTATTAGAACTGACAGTTGTCAGTGCACAAGAAACTTTAACCACCAAAACTTGTAAGATTTCCTCTGAAATACTCTCTATGGCAGCAGTATAACTCATTTGTCTGGCAGATGGCACAGATGCAGGCATACTTTTAATGACCGTGATTCTACAATGGTTTGTGCAATCGAAAAAAGCACAGTCATAAGTGCTCCACTGGTACCATTGCTGCATTCATTGCCACATTTTCCGTGGAGAATATACTATTTAATCTCCTGGTTTAAACTTCACTACTGTGACGCTGGACAGACCCAATAAACCCAAACATGTCGTGACTGGGAACATTGAATGATAATGGGAGTATTTAGTCTACATTTGTTTTGTAGAATTTTCAAAAAGCTTACGGCTTTACACAAGGGGGGCTCTGTTGGGGTTTGCTGAGTGAATTTGGTATACCGGAGTTGCTTTCACAAGCAATTCGGTCCCTGTATAACCAAAGATGGAACATTCTTGGCACAAAGTTTTATAAATTACATTTATTTGATATTCTTTGAATTGTGATTTATTTGAATCCTATATGTTTTCATTAATTATATACACAGAACTTAAACCTAATGATGACTAATTATTATGATTACATTTGTGTTTTATGTTAAAACATGAATTTATTTAACTAGAAAGTTTTTCATTTTGTCAAAACCATACACACACAGTTAGGTATTTCAATGACATTATGTTCTGTTTTCAGGTGCATACCCAGTGGCCTGTGAGACCCGTGGAACAGACTTGAAAGAGAATGACATAGTGGTTTTATGTCCACAAGACTGCACACAATTAAGGGTGTCTGTATTTGGTACTGGAGTTTATGCTGCCATCTCCTCAGTCTGTGGAGCTGCCCTGCACAGGTATGATATATCTGTCTTATGTGTGGTCATTGACGCTTTTCTGTGGAGAAAAAGTAAAAAGGTTTAAAATGCTTTTAGATGACGTATGCAGTTATCCATGGTGACTTCCGATACAGCTTGTAAGAATGAATTAGGCGTTTTGGATGTGAAATTTAGTAAATTCTCTTGTGCGGCTTAGACATGTAACATTCAAGTTACAATTCAAGTCGAATTGAAGATAAATTGAATTGAATGTGAGCAGTGTGTTTTGTACTGTGTCCTGAACACACTACAGAGGAATTTACTGAAAATAGGAGCTTTATTGACCACCTCTTTGTTCTGTAAAGGGCCTTTGCTGGGATTCATTTCAGAATATTCACCACAACTTTGAATTTTTTACTCCTTCATTCAATTATTTTTACTCTTCCTCTTAGAAATGTTCTGCTCATCTTTAACTTCAGTGTTTCTGTTCTCGATTTGTGAAACTTCAGGGTCCATATACAGTAGATGCACTAATCTAGGTATCGGCTGAAATTTAATGAGTATCAGAACCATTTGTAACCTCAAGTCAACTTTTATCATGACTCTTAGTACTGTTTTTTAGTGTTTAACTCAAAATTTGTTGCTTTGTCATTTTTTCTCTTCTGTCCCACAGGGGGCTTCTGGGGACTTCTGGGGGCCCTGTAAGAGTTCATAAGCAGAAGGGGCAAAATAACTATGTGAGTTCTTTTGCCAATGGCATCCACTCACAGACCCTGTCTAGCTGGAGTGCCTCCTTCAGCCTCTCCAGTAGGTGGAGTTATTTGGCGTTTATTTATTCATTTGTTTACCATACTACTTATCTTGGGTCGATGGTTGGCCAATCCCAACTGACATTTTAGTGATTAATAGATTGTTTTTATTATAATTGTTGTTTGGTTTATTAACTCATGAGAGAATGGCATACTTTTGGAATGGAACTGTAACCTAGGAAATAGGTCTCAATCTCAATCTTCCCGAGTTCTCATTTTGGAGGAACCTCGACGAACTTTTTCGACTTCGAATCAAATCAAAACAGCTGTTCCAGAGCTTCACTCCGCTAATTGATAAACTGAAGGTTCTTTTGTTGTTCGAACATACTTAGTTTTGAAATGTAATTTTCCTCTTAGATTATATTTTCCATCTCTATCAGTAAAAAATTGTTGTATGTGCGCAGGAAGTAATTTATTTCTTGCTTTATAAAGAATTTGAGCAGTTTTTAAATCTATCAGATCTACAAATTTAAGAACTCTTGAATCTAGGAATAATCTCTAAAGAATAGCCCAGACACAATTCGGAAGAAACCTGTTTCAGCCGCGATTTCATTCTTTTGGTCATTGCCCAAAGTTTGTTACCATGGGTGATGGTAGGAACATAAATCGACCGATAAATCAAGAGCTTCACTTTTGAGCTCAGCTCTCTTTTCATCACGACAGACCGGTACCGCCAACGCCACACCGATCCACATAGCGATCTCCTGATCCATTTTACCCCCATTCGCGAACAAGACCCTGAGATACTTGAATTCCTCCACTTGGGGAAGGACATCCCCGCCCCCTGACCTGGGGGAGGCCCTCTACCCTTTTCCAGTAACAGAGTCCAGGATTTGGAGGCACTGATGGTCATCCTGCAACATCTACGAAAAGCAGAGATGCAATCCTGAGTCCACCGAGATGTACACCTTCAATACCTTGGCTGTACCTAGACATTCTGTTAACTAAAGTTATGAACAGAATCGGAGACAAAGGGCAACCTTGGCTGAGTCCAACCCTCACCGGAAACGAGACGACTTATTACCGGCGATGTGGACCAAGCTCCTACACCAGTCGTACAGGGACCTAACAACCCTTAACAAAGGGCCTGGTATCCATGCTCCCGGAGCACCCTCCACAGGATACCCCGAGGGACACAGTTGAACAACCTCTCCAAGTCCACAAAACACATATGGACTGGTTGGGCGAACTTCCATGCTCGCTTGGACTGCTAATAGCTATCTGTTGCCTCTGGAGTCTCAAAGGCCAGAATGGCCCGATAAGAGTCCTTCAGCATGACGGCATCCCTCATCGCCGACGTCCACCAGCTGGTTCGAGGTGTTACCGCCACGACAATGGCTGAACGGAACATCCGATGTCCCCTCCCTCCCTCGGAACGTGATCGTTGTCTCCCGAAGTGTCCAAGATCCCCCAAGTGTCGTTTCCGCAGATCGGCTGAAACAGCAAAGTCTCTCACTGCGGCCTAGGGTGTCCTGGTGCCAAGATGGGGGGGGCAACAAGTATGCCCATTCCCACTTGGTGCCTCTCATCGAGGGCAACTCCAGAATAGCAGAGTGTCCAACCGCTCTCAAGATGACTGGTTCCAGAGCCAGAGCTGTGCCTAAAGGCGAGACCGACTATATCTAGCCGGAATCTCTCCACCTTGCACAGCAACTCAGGCTCCTAAGGAAAAACCACATTTGACTAATCAAACATTGTGAGGTTTTTTAAACAAATCTGTGGATTAGAGGTTACCTTGGACATTCATAGATGGTTAAGTTGTCAGTTTAATGTTAACTTCAAGCTGACCACTCTTAGACCTGAAATGTTATGTGTATGTATATAAGTATGAACATGTTGAAATAGTCTCAATTGTTTTAATGGTTCAGCATGATTTTAATATTCTGAAAACATAAACATTTATTTTGTGCATCCAGAAAACGTTAAAGCACCACTAGAGATGAATAGTGAGACCAGTACCACAGCCCTGCCTGCAGCTGCACCAAAAGGTAACTGAAAAATATAGATTAATGACATCAGGAAAGGAGACTGTTGCCTGAACAAAGTACGTAGTGTTTTCATTTTGTGCATAATGGAACAAAAATGTTGTGACGAAAAATGGTTCAATTTTTAGCACCTAGTTTTTTCTGTTAGTGTCGATTCTCACTCATTCACGCCATGGTAATCCTGATAACTTGAATTAGGGCAACTGGAACAGCTCTTGGATCTTTAAAAGATGTTGCTTGGGTTTTCAGTTCTGAGTCATTTGGTTTCTGGTTGGGAGAGATTTTTATTTGATAAGTTCTTCATGCAGTGGCTTTGTCTGTGCCATTATTTGGCCTTGTCTGAGACCTGCAGGTGTGCTGAAACACATTAGTTCCTAGCTGATCCTTGCTTTTCTTTATTTGTGAAAGCTGAGCCTTCTCAGTGAGACTTTTGACCTCCTCAGTGATTGTGCTGGGTGGATGTCCTAACAGTTTTTGGTGGATCAACTCCATCCTGTGAAAAAAATAGATAAGTAGAGAAACCGTCCTGTCATTACTTTTGTTATGAAGCTGATTATCAGCCATCAACAGAATCTGTTCTGCTCTGTAAACTCTGGGATGACTCTATTCCATTCATAGGAGGAGGACAAGTTGCATTGATTCAAGCTTTTTAGACTAGTTTTATTTTAACATTATTTATGACAGAAATGTTATTGTCGTTTGATCATTGTCGCTGATCATTGGTCAGAACTTCAACATATTGAATTCACTGTTAAAGTACTCAAATAGATGAAAATGTGCCTATTTCTTGTGTGTGCTCTGTTTTAGCAAAGAAATTGTTAAAGAAATCATCTGTGAAGAAAGCTCTCACAGGCGGAAACCAAGGTACGGCCTGACAAACAACTTGGTTCTTGTTCAGTTTCGCTTGTTTTTGAAAAGAATGAAATGTATTTATTCTTTTAATTTTATGATTTGTATTTATTCAATAAGATGTCTTTTACTGGAAATCGTCCAGACAATTGATCATAGAAAATGTTGAATCCAATATGAGAAGTTTGATTTAATAAACGATATACTGTATGATTAACCCATTAAAGATGTGGTTGCTTAAGGTATGTCCAAATGCGTTTAATAAAATTTCAGTGTTATGACCACAGAGTAGTCAAAATTGTAGACCATATCTGTGCGTTTAATTTGGCTATACTTACTATTCCCATATGATGATCTCCCACAGATAAAATTAAGTAGCCACAGAATGTCTTTGTGTTTTATCACACAGTTCACATAGTTGACTGGATTCCTCTGTATGTTTACTGCCCAAGGGACAGTGGTCCAATTCAGTGTGCATGTAAACTGAATCTAATCAGTGACTAAAAATTAAGCTACTTTTATTTTATGTAATATATCCTATGTATTTATATTTTTAATGTTATGTTTCGATTATGAACTTTGAAGAACGAATACTATTATAGGCTATATTAATTGGAGTTTAATTAAAAAACTAAAATGATGCCGTTTCAATGAAGGCTTCTGGCATTTTAAATTCAAGGGATTTTACTATTTTGACTTTCAAAATCTGGTGCAACATTGAATTTCATTAAACTTCAGCATAATGTCAAATGCACAAATTACAATGTGAGACTATCAAGATTGCTTAGTACACAGCTGAAGTATCTCATGCACACTCTCTGCACAATTCTTATTACAAATTAAAGCATTTTATTTTGGTGGTATATCCATCATATCTGCTGTGTTTCGTAATCCACTTTAACTAAGGGCCAATTAGCAGCATTAAGTAAAATAGTAATCATATTTATTTGTGATGTGGCCATGAAGAATTTGAATGTATGGAACTTTGTAAGCTCAGCTACAAAGCATTCCAAATGATTTTGGGAAAGGTTAAATCAAGTCACTTTTAATAACGTGTTTCTGTTTGGCAGACTGTCAGATTGACATTGCCATGGTGATGGACAGCAGTAGAAACATTGGGCAGCGCAGGTTCAGGCTTCAGAAGAACTTTGTGGCTAAACTCGCCGCTGTGCTGAGAGTGGGACCAACGGGACCTCATCTGGGCCTGATACAGGCCAGGTCAGTTGTGCGACACACAACATATAACATGTAACTTTTGTAACCATTCACCACTGCACTACATTTGGACTCCCACTTATTTTGCATCTTGGTTGCTGTCTTAGTCACTTATGTGTTGTGCCCCATAATTGCCATTTTGGATAATGTTACCACACATTTGGATTCTCTTATACATGATCTCATGATTTAATCTGTAATTTGTATTCTTTCCCTTTAGTGTCTTTGTAGTTTTCCCCTGTAAATACTGAAACATGTGGAGAGCTGTGCTGTGCTCTTTTTGACCAAAGCATTTCCATTCATAGTTTAAATCTCACGATTGTGTGTCTACAAAATGCCTATCTGTTTTGTTGCTGCTAGACATTTTAAGATCAATTCTAAGACCAATATTAACTTTAACATAAACTACAGAGCTGAAAAAAATGTAATAGAATTTGGTTTCATAAATCTGTGTGTAGTGACACTCCTAGAACAGAATTCCTGCTGACTAACTACACTCAACCTAAAGAGATGCTACCTGCCATCAAGGAGTTGACCTACTTGGGAGGAGATACCAACACAGGTAGCATACATGTCATTGACAGGGTTACTTGCTATCATGGACAAGATTTGGGAGGTTTAAAAGAAAATTATTAATATAACAATTAATGATTTAGTTAAGTTGCAAATTAGGAGGTTTTATAGGGAGAGTTCAACAATGATGCATAAAATTGTTCATAGTGATGTGAAATGCTATAAACTGTCCCGTAGAAAACTTGTTCCTGTAGAAACTAGAATGAGCTAGGCATTTTTATTTTGCGCACCCCATGTCTGAGAGTATTCAGTAACTTGCAGTTTGTAGTTTACATTTATACTTTCTTGTACATAGTGTTTAAACATTATAGGTCTATAAATTGCTATTCTTTTCAAGGGTAGTTGTCTGATTGCAATTCATGTAAGTTGTATTTGTTTTATATTGTATTATTTAGTAGTGGCCTTTAATGACAGTAGCTTGACAGGAAAGGGGGCAGAGATAGAGAGGGGGAGACCTGCAGGAAAGGGCCATGGGCTGGAATAGAACCCAGGCCGCCCGCTTGCGAGCGGAGGCTCTGCATATGGGCCGCCTTCTCTAACCATTAGGCTACGGCTGCGGCCCGAAGAGCACTTTTATTTTGAAGTCAAGAGTGGTCTTGTTTGAGCTCTGGCAGGAGAAGCAATAGAGCCCTTGTTAAGGATTTTTGCTGAAGTTAAGGCTAAATACATTAATGGAAAATCTTGAAGATTTAGAATAATTCCCTTTCTCTTGCAGCATGCAGCCAACGAGTTTTCACTATAATTCCCTCTAAGCACAAGAAGACTTAAGTGGTTTTTCTTTAACTGGTGGATTTGGAGATCCCAAAACAACTCGAAATAAACCACTTCAAGAAAAACACTTGAGTCTGCTAGTGCTTGGAGGGACTTATAATTTCCTTTATTAACAAACAAAGCCTCTTTAAAATGCATGTTGGCTAATGCCAATACAATGTTGAAATGGAACTATTAAACCAAAACCTAATCTTATGGCTCCTCAAGATAGGCAAAAGGACAGCTAAACAGATTTAAGGTGATTATTCAATTTATTGATGAGGTATAAAACTACGGTCTAACAAAAGAAATGTTCTCATATTTACCTTCAGGTAAAGCCATAACGCACACAGTAGAGACCTTCTTTACCCAGGGAAGGGGGGTGAGACGGGGCCATCCTCGGGTGATAATGGTTTTGATTGATGGCTGGCCATCGGATGATGTGGAAAGGGCAGCCATGCTGGCCAGAGAGTCTGGCATCAACGTCTTCGTGGTGTCCGTGGCCAAACCAGCAGCTGAGGAGCTTAGCATGGTGCAAGACAAAGACTTCATGAGGAAGGTTTGAACTTTATTTGTGTTTATCTAAATACAAAAACATAATCAAGTACGGATGTTTTTGTTTTATTTCCATTTACATTTCTGTATTGAGCAGACACTTCATAACAATGCAGGAGAATTGTGAACAATGGTTATTGTTATTTTTAGTAGTAAAATGTTTACTAAATTTGCCCTCACAAAGGAGATGATCCAAGAATTTGAATAGTGTTTTACAGATGTCACCAAAAGCACCACAGCAGCCTTAAGAAGTTGGACTTATTCAGAATAGAGACACAGACCAGAGGGGCATCAGCTGAAGAACTCAAAGAAAAGAGGAATATTTAAATGAAAGTTTTCGAGATGGTAACACTATGTCTTTCCTTGTTATTGCAGATTGTGTGTAAAGATAATGGATTCTTCAGTTATTCAATTCCCAGCTGGTTCAGCGCCTCCAAACATGTCAGAAATCTCTCACAGAGACTCTGCTCATTGGATGGTTTGCTCTGCAGTAAGAACAATCTTTATCATGCTGAATCCAACATATAAATGAGAGCAATAGCCCACGCATGGCAAAGAAAATGAAACTATGTAATGAGACATTTTTTAAATGAAAAATATGATTCGTGACTCAGCAAAAATATCTAAATCAGAACATGTTGTAGTTTCATTTCCCCTTTGTTCATGTGTTGGGTTATTGCACAGTTTTTGTCTTTAATTAATCAGCTTCTCCATAAATGTGCAGGTCTGCTGCATGTAAAAGTTACACACTTTATTTTTAGGTAAAACTTGTTACAACTCTGTAAACATTGGCTTCCTCATTGACGGTTCGTCTAGTGTCGGCGAGGCAAACTTCCAACATGTTTTGGACTTCCTAGTCGAAATAGCCCAGAGCTTCGACATCTCGGATGTGGGATCTCACGTCGGTCAGCTTCGCAACGTTCCTTCACTTATGTGTGACCTCTGGCTGGCAGACTGACTGACTGACTGTGTTCATGATGCAGGTGCAGTGCAGTTCACCTATGATCAGAGGCTGGAGTTCGGTCTGCTGGACCACCCCAGCAAAGAGGACACCATCAATGCTCTGAGGAGGATCTCATACATGAGTGGGGGAACCTCGACCGGATCAGCCATTACCTATGCCACTCAGCACCTATTCAGGTAATGCAAAATGTTTTCAACATGATCTAAAGTGGAAGATTAATACAAACAGCTTAAAAAACAAAGCCAAACGGAAGTTCAGTCTCCCACCATGGACATGGAGGCAGACATTGAGTACCTCCACCATGCAGACCAGACATACTGTTGTATGATAGTAAGCTCACACCCTGACAGTATTCTGACATTCATGCATATTGCATTTCTCACCACCTTTTCCCAACTTGGGATATTATTTAGAAAAAGTTTGTGCGTGCAGTAATCATCCATCCATCAATTTGCGTCCGCTTATCAAAGGATGGGTCATGGAGGCAAAAGGTTCATGACAGGAACCAAAACATCCCTCTTCCCATTAGTAATCTATAATAACTAATCAAATAAACAATGTAGATGGAAAAACTGTTACATAACCCAGGTGTAAAAACATCTACATTCTGTAGCCTTTTTGCAGCCTTCTGTGGCAGGACAGGGATGCAACGTACCACCTAATGACACAATGTCTTATCAATTACTCAGAAATGCCTTCAGAAATTACTTCTTAAAAGGGACACACACACAAATGTCAAGCCTTTTTTAATGGTCTTAATGCTAGAAGATCATTTATTTCTAAAGTAAACAATGTATACTGATCAGCTATAATGTTCTAACAAACAATCCTTATGCTGTATAAACTGTTTAGACACGTTTGATTTTCCGTCATTGTGTGTTTTATATTGGAAAACATACAGGAAAAGAATAAAATTTAACTCAATTCAATTCAATTTTATTTATATAGCGCCACATCACAACAACAGTTGTCTCACAGCGCTTTCCAAACAGAGCAGGTCAGACCCTACTCTGAAGTTAATTACAGAAACCCAACAATTCCCACCATGAGCAAGCACTAGGCGACACAGGCAAGGAAAAACTTCCTTTTAACAGGCAGAAACCTCGAGCAGAACCATGGCTCAGGGTGGGCGGCCATCTGCCTCGGCCATCTGGCCATATACACACAATATGGTATGCCTCCCCACCATCCTTTTCCAACGCAAGTTACCTTAGCAAAGGATCTGTTGGGCTCTGTGAGTTGTGGGGAGGGTTGGGGTTATGTAATGAGCTTGCTTCCAAAGAGATGCAATCAGACCTGGTATCTAGAGAATTAGGAGGTCAGCAGAACACCCGTGGTCCTTTGACTTGCTGTTTAGCCCTTCTCAAAAAATTTTTAGGCTTAGTGCCACTGATTATGGTGGTGGTGTTCAATATTGTTTGGCTTTGGGGGATGATTGGTATCAGAATTGTTTGCTGGGTGTCAAAGTACAATCAATGTGAATCCCAGGATGCAGAGCGTTGCACCGGATCAAGATGAGAAGAGATTTCCACTTTGCCTACCAGTGTGTGTAAAGCAACAGTATTAATAAAGTCCAAGTGGACATGATGAAAGGTTGATCTGTTGTTGTGCTTTTCTGCAGCACACAAACTAGACAGAGTCACAAATTTCTCATCGTGGTGACGGATGGCCAGTCGTACGACGACGTAAGCTACGCAGCGCTTACTGCACAGAGACAAGGTTAGCGTGAATACAATTGTCCAAACTTTTTTTTTTTTTTAAAGCTAATGCACATGTTCTCACCAGTATAGATTCATAATAAATTGTTAAAAATGGTGACAAATCAGTGGCAGAATGTGTCAACAGCCTCTCCTGTCCCCTTGTCATCAGGTATTACCATTTTCTCGGTCGGTGTCGCTTGGGCACCACTTGGTGACCTCAGAACAATGGCGTCAGAGCCAAAGGACAGCCACACCTTCTTCACCAGAGGGTTTACCGGCCTCAAAGATTTTGTCCCACTGGTGGTCCGAGGCATCTGTCAAGACTTCACCGTGAACAACTGATAGCACAGATACAAGGACCTGGAATTTAAACCGAGTACATCGGAAGCATACCCACTTTGTTCAATTGACATGGCTTATTTGCATCATACACAGCACTACAGTGGGAATATCTGAGCAACAGCAGTTTCCTGAAGTTGAATGTATGTCACTCTTCTTTCTTTCTGTTTTCTTAAAGAAATAAATAAATCCAAATGATTAAGTGTGAGACTAGTGACTGCGGAGGTCAGAAGCATGATTGTTACGTACAAGCCAGCATGAAAAGGCTCTTTATATAAGATCCATTATTAGTATTTTTGCATTTCGACTGGGGAATTGCCCCACTCAACAGTTAACACTTTAATACTTAAACATTGGCTGAGTGGGAACGACTGCAGACTGCCAGACGATGATTGGCAACAACAAACATCCGATTTCAGTATTTTTGCGTGGGCTTCTCCTACTCAGGAGGCCACTGTCTATGAAGACTCTGATTCAGGGGGCCAATAACTATGAAAATCTGCACCACACCTTCCTATATAGCTTTATATGCATTTTCCATCTCCCAGAAAACACCCAAACTGTAATCTCCAGGGGGCCATAGACTAGTCTCTGTCACCCATGTAGTTTGTACATTTACTATTTAGGAAAATTGTACCTTTCAGGGACTTTAAACGTACACATATGTGTCTTGGGTTCCAATTATCAACCATATTGGGTACATAAGTTGGGAAATCACTTTAGGATATATGAATGTACTCCTTTTATGTGCCCCCATTTTTCACAGCGTAACCACCCTTAGGGGATTCCAAACATTTCATGCAAACTTCATTAACAGTTCACCGACCAAATCATTGAAAGAGATGTGTGTTTGTGTGCGTCATTGTGTGTGTGTCTGAAATGTTCGCTAAATCTGTTCAGATCAAGCTCACTACAATGACGCATTACAAACACATTACAAGTAGAGCAGGACTTCTGACCACAGGTCATGTGAGGTCCATGGTGAGTAGACGAGTGAGTTGATTAACTGGAAAATGAAATGGGCATATTAGGTCAAGTTCTCAATTGATTCAGATCATATCTTGAAGGCAGGAGCTCTGTTGTGTCCAATGGTGAGAATAAATCTGAGCTTATTCCACTGATATGTTGAGTCCCTCAAGGGTCACATCATACGTAACAGCAATGTACAGTCATGGCCAAAAGTATTGAGAATGACACAAATATTATATTTACACATGATCTGCTGCCCTCTGGTTTTCATGTGTGTATGTCAGATGTTGTCATCACATACAGAAATACAATCATACTACAATACTCCCTTGGCCTAGAAGCAACCCCACACATGAATGGTTTCAGGATGCTTTACAGTTGGCATGGTGGTAGCGCTCACCTCGTCTTCTCCGAACAAGCCGTTTTCCAGATGTCCCAAACAACTGCAAAGGGGATTCATCAGAGAAAATGACTTTACCCTAGTCCTCAGCAGTCCGCCCCCTGTACCTTTTTCAGAATATCGGTCTGTCCCTGATGTTTTTCCTGGAGAGAAGTGGCTTCTTTGCTGCCCTCCTTGAGACCAGGCCTTGCTCCAAGAGTCTCTGCCTCACAGTGCGTGCAGATGCACTCACACCTGCCTGCTGCCATTCCTGAGTTAGCTCTGCACTGCTGGTAGCCCAATCCCGCAGATCAAACACTTTTAAGAGACGGTCCTGGCTCTTGCTGGTCTTTCTTGGGCGCCCTGGAGCCTAATTGCGAACAATGACGTTGAAATGTGTTTTGGGGGATAAAGTAAATTTTCTGGGCAAATATTGACTTTACAATTAATTGCTGTTATGCTGAACACTCTTTTTAACATTCTGGAGTATATGCAAATTGCCGTAAAAAAACTGAAGCAGCAAACTTTGTAAATATTAACATTTGCATAATTCTCAAAACTTTTGGCCATGACTGTAGATGATACTCGGATCTACTTGTTTTTTTGAGTTAGTGAACAGTTAGATGACATTAAAATAAGACAGCTTTTACAAGCTAAAACAAATCAAAACTAGAAACTCTCCTTTTATGGTCCTGAGGTCCTGTACCTTTCTTTAGTTGAAATTTACTGCACTGTTTTACCTTTTTTTTCTCTTTCTTGTTTTTATTTTCTAAATGAATTTGCTTTATCTTAATGTCTTTGTAAAGCACTTTCAGTTACCCTTGTGCATTAAATGTGCTATACAAATAAACTTGCCTTGCCCTACAATCAAGAGCTTTACTTGTTAACAGAAATAATTACAGGCTCATTTCATTTCTTAATTTACTTTTATTTAAATAAAAAGTCATAGCTAGGAATTTTTTAAAGTCCCCTTATGATGATAAATGCAAATGGATCCAATGCTACCTCGTCCGGAAGTACCCCCACCCTTTTTGGAGGTGCTGGAGAGTGCCCTTCTCTTTAAAGGAATGATCCCCTATCAATACACATCTGACTCTTTGTCTGCCTGGATACAATAAGTGATCTCTTATTATCTTGTATCAGTGATGGATAGTAAGCAGTTCCAACATTACAAATTATTCTGTATCAATGATTGCATATTGCAAGCCATATTAATGACAATCAATGAAAATGCAAATCAGTAAATATTTGTCAGCAACCGATATGTTTTCGGTGTTTGTACATTTGTAAATGCAGCTCTAACTTTTCAGTGCAGGTTGTAATATCACAGGTTGGAAATGCCTTTCTGCGGATAACATTTACCAGAATGTTTTGATTATTCTTAATTTCAATATGGATATTCTTTACATATTTCCTGGCAATAAAGAGATTGCCGGCTGGATTTAAAATTTTAGTGATTACATCACCAAACCAATATTTCTATGATATAACTTTTTCCTCCATTTGAAGTGGGTTGAATGTATGGGGACTTAGTTCCAGGGACAAGAAATCTCTGTCAAGGCAACTTACCATGAACATTCTGACTTCATATGCGGCACTAGATTCACACAGAAACTTTCACTAGCAGTGTTCTTAAAAACACTCAGGGAGCAGGGTGACATAAAACACTTCAACCTCTTCCTTGTGGTGGATGATGTCATGTCACCTGTCATGTTTTTTGCAGGCTTCTTTTATGCATTTCAAAGGTCCACAAATCTGATCCAGTTCTTAAAAAATGAGCTGGTTTAATATAATTTTTTAAGCTCCTCTGTATAAAACTACCTTTGACAGGCTTTCTGCCCAAATGTTTGATAGACTGTAGCCATGAAACTCTTCACATTTTTTGGTCAAACACTGTACCTTGGGAGTTTCTGAAAAGATCTCCCCGTTTACACATCATATGATGATTGAAGTAGGACCGTACAGGTTCTGAAACGACTGAAAGGCATTTTTTTGGGTCTCTTCCATCGGGTTCGAATACTTGAGTGGTAACTAGTTTATCTTGCAAGAAATCAAGGATATTAGGGTACGGGTTAAAGGTTAAGGGATATAAGGGTGTTGTTATCTTCAAATCAATATTTTTTACTAAAACATTTGCATCACAGAGGCTTTCCCTGGCTGTGGCAATATGCTCAATACTATACTAATAGTTTTATAGCTTTTTAAAGTTCTTTTTTCACATTTTTTAGGGATCTGACTCTTTAAAAACAGATTAGGAATATCAGATTGGATCAGTTCTAAAGCTCTGGTGTCAAAAACTTTCTTGGAAAATGTATTCTTGCAGGTTTCTGAAGAGTATAGGTATCTTGTTCTAAAAAAATAAAAAAATAAAAAAAAATTCCAAATGCAGCCTTCTTACCCATTTCGCCCTTCACAGCCCTCCCCAAACTGTCTGCTTCTTAATTTAAGTGGACAGAGTGATGAAAAGTTGGCATAGGAAACAGAAACAGGCTAAAATAAACATGAATTGATTCTTGGTTGAGACAGACTATCTAATTTATCACAGCAGCTATCAACAGATGAGTATATGAGCATCCATATGGCTGATTGTCCAGCAGTGGAGGCCACAAATCCTCTGCCCGCTGCATAAGGGATGGTAACTTCCTGTAAGCTTCCATCCACTGCTGTGAGAGAGGAACTGGAGGCTTTAAACCAATGTGTGAGCTATTGAAATGTGCTCAGTGTCAGAGTTGAGTGTTTACTGTGGAAGAGAGTGGAGCAGCACAATGTACAGGTACACCAATTTAATAGTTATTATAGACATTATATATACATTTCAACAGCTGTATTCTGCTAAGTGGTACTGTCTTTAAAATCGCCTGTTCAAAGTTTATAAATCAAAAGAAGACAACAACAAAAAAAAAAGCAAATTGATCAGAATTTCATTTTCCTTTTTGTTGGAAGACTAGAAAAAATACTTTTTGTTTTAATCATGCATTACACAAACAGAAGCGTCGTAGTAACAAACGTGATCTTAGTGTTGCTGAAAATGACACGACAGGAAACCGCAGATCGGAAAAAACAGCAGAAAAAATTCAGCTCGTAAGTCACACCCCGTCCCCAGTCTGTTCTCCTGGAGATCTGACATGTTTTCCTGAGGAGACCAGAAAATAACAGCACTCCGACTACAGCGAAGAGGAGCCTAAAGCCGTGAGGAGAGACTCGCTCTGAGCCTCAGGCTGACCGGTCTCACACACCGGCTTCCAAAGCCAATTATCTGACCATTTATCAGGTATGAAATTACTCCATTTTTTCTGTATCACAAATACTCCACGTTATAAAAAGTTACGTTTTAATCAGATGTCAGTTTTCGCAAAAATAAAGTTAGATGCAGAAATTAATATTGAGATATTAGCTTGCAGCGAGTAAAGAAAGCGTCAGTTTCTTTGTTCTGAAAAAATCCCGTTTACATTTTAGCATTTGACAGGAAAAAAAAAAAATTCACAATGGAGCACTGGGATGCAGGTTTGTCATACCAATGTGTACATTAGTAAACGATTCCTATTGAAAAGCGTCAATGGGAATTGACGATCTCACGTCACAGACCTGGTTTCTGCGTTAAGAATTTTAGAAGCCGTATACTAATCCGGTGCTCATGGTTTCTCCACTTTACTCGAAATCTTCAAAAACGTCGGTTTCAATGGGTCAGTGTGAGGAGCGGACGGGATCTGGGATGGCAAACTTGACAGGCCAGAGGGCCCAAAGTCCTCTTAAGCCTCAGAGAGGAGGCGTTTGTAAAAAAGGTTTATAAAAACTAGAATTTCTTTCACACCAACAAAAATAACTACAGCGATTCTAAATAAGGAACCCCTCTGCATTATTGTATGACCGGGCTTTAAACGACGGGACTCTGGTTGACTCGTGAAGAGCTGAGGTGCAGAATATTGACCGGTTCTCCGCTGGTGTTGGGACAAACATCGGACCAACCCAAACCATCAGAGATTAAAAGAATATCTGACATTGAAATCGTTGTGGTTACCCACTCAACAGCTGCAGTTTGCCCTGTTTTTTTTTTATTTCAGAACCTCTTTATAAACATGTACAAGTCTGTAAAAGTGTCTTTTGGTTTTTTTGTCCTAAAACTTTAGTAAAGATTTAAGTTATTTAAAAAAAAAAAGCTGAAAAACCACAGTGAGTTCAAACATCAGATGTTCGGCTGAATTCAAACAATGTTTCTCTGGGTTCAAAGGAAAAATCCCCCTCAGATGTTTATCCTCAGTCCACTTTCTGCTTTCCCTAATTTGAATATACTTACAGGTGAACTAACATTTCTCTGGTTTATGTCTAGTGACGTCTTTAAAAATGTTACCTGTGATTTTACTGATGTGAGGAGGTGGAACTAAACAAATCAATGAAAAAAAAAAAAAGGTATTTATCCTTCGTTTTGTGAATCTTATCGGAGAACAGAACTGCTTACTTAGATGCCGTGAAAGCGTTCCTTTGTACAATATCCGCCTCATGCAGATTCAGGATTTACGTTTAACACAAACATAACGACATTAAATCAAAATCTGGGGCGGACATTGCTTGTAACCTGCTCTATTCGGTCGACTTAACTTCAGATATTTCCTCTCTGTGTTTCACGTTAATTTCACTGTGGCAAAAGAAAACGCGTCAAACTCGCGTGGCGAGCGCTGAACAAGTCATTTGAAGCCGGAGGTGTTTATAGAGTAATTCTGCAGAACCTACTCACCAATCATTTAGCTCTGCCGAATGAAACCAAAAAGCTCCTTGATTAGGGTCCCACGGGCGGTAGCCTCCCTGACTTGCATTTCTACCGGGCAGAACAGTTACAGAACACCTAAAAACAACAATAACAACAACAAAAAAAAAAACAACGCGGCAGTTTCATGATTGACATGCTCACAGAATCTTCATGTGACCTAGCTGTTGTGCTCTCATGCTTTATGTGCTCCAGAAAAAAGCCCCAAAACTACTGCAATAAACACCGGGTGTAATTCACATACCTGAGAAAAGAAAAAAAGCACAACTGCGGTAAATCAAGCGACCTGTTCGACGCGCTAGCAGCTGCTTTGTAGAGAGCAAAAGCCACCAGCCGTGGCCGTGAGTTACACGTGTGCGGTTACCGTCTCGGAGCTGTTTTTTTGAGGGTATGTGAAAATAGAAAAAAATCTCAATGACTAACTGGAGCTTTTCCAAAGCCTGCAAGTCTTCACAGTGCGCTTATGTACACCATGTACACTTAAAATCTACACTTCACTGGCCATGTGATAAGCAGATGGCGTATAAAACTGTAAAATTTCTTTCAATGTATTATTTATTTGGTGAAATAAAAACCATTTGTCATTGATCTTTTTTTCCCTCGGTAATACAGACACCACATACCAGAGCACTGTTTCACTTAATGAACTAATTACTGACATTTCATTTAGCCACAGAGATGGGTAAAGTACCAAAAATGGTACCGTTTGGTAAAGAATTACAGGTACCTGCATCTGTATCAGACTGGATGAAATGTTAAATTTACCCTGCCCTTAATAACAAAAAAAAATGGTTGAATGTAACAGGATATATCAATTTTGTATTGGCATTTTTTTTTAGAGCTGTGAACGCCATTCGATATATTGTGCACTACCGTGTTTTGTGTGTGCACTCGTATCAAAATGCATCCACTGTACGGAGTCAAAAATATGGGCAAAAAACATGTAAACCACCCGACAATCGGTGGCTGCAGCACACGTTGATGGCTTACAGAAAAAAATCAAAGCGCGCGTGGAGCGAATGCATGAAAAGCTTCAACCTGTGTGGACGTTGTATCACTGCCATCAAGAGGTGAAGGGAGATCACCAAACCGCTGAGCGCAATGCTAGTTTGAGGGAGATTTTTCCTTTACGTTGCTCCGTTTCTCTCGTCTGGATGAGGAGACAACAGTTACTGTCGATAAGATGAGGGGAGGGGGAGGAGGAGAACGGTGTGAACAGAGCTAATTTCGCCCTCTGCAAACGGGATCGGATGACATCACAGTACAATGTGAGCTACTTGTTGTGTGTCTGCAGGTTCAAAACAATGCTTCCGCATTGTTTCTGCAGTCGAAAAGTGTTTCAGTCTCTTCGCTCGGATGCAGGGAGACCCCCCACCTCTGAGGGAGTACTCGCATGCACGGTTTGCAGTCTTCTTACGGAGATCCTGCCACTTCCAGTCTTCCATATAATATATATTTCTGTGTTCAGGAACCTGAACAGACCTGGATCCTAGCCGTGTGTCCAGATTAGCCCGATTTGCTCTGTCTCTCGGCCTGCAGTCGTCTGCTTCTTCTTCTCTCTCTCCTCATCTACACGTAGACTCTGGCGAGGGCGTCCGCTCCGGCAGAGGCGATGTAGGCCTTAGAGGGGTGAAAGGTGACGTCGTAGATGGCTTCCTCGCTCTTCTTGCGGTGAGCCGTGATCTCCTGTATGCAAGTTTTACTGTCCAAGTTCCACAGACGCAGGGAGCAGTCGTGACCTGAGAAAGGAGCATGAGAGGACAATTAGGGTTCAGGCAGCACTGTCGTCTTATTTCGCAAAGTTAGACACAGCAAGAGGTCCAAATCAACTGTTGCTTAAGTGAGACTTTACAACTTACTGCCAGAAATTAGGTAGATGCCATTAGGGTCCACAGACAGACTAGTCACCGCATCTAGATGAGCCACCATGGCATGGATCAATTTACCTGCAGGGGGTATCACACAGACATGTTCACACTTCCAAATTAGAAGGATTATTTTTCTTCCCCAAAGTCACAGTAATAAAAGCAATAATAATAATAACGATCACTATAATTAAGTAAACTGAACAAATTCATTCAAATGAATGCTTCATCTTGTACAGGACAGATATCAGTGATACCACAGTTATAATCCACCAGTCAAAAAAAAAGAAAGAAAACAAGGAAATCTTAAAAGCCTGAATAAGGAGAACAGGACGACCTGTTTCTCATTGCATCTGAAAGGCTTCTTTAGTTCTTAACTACATGGTTATGTATCAGCTTATTGCAAAGAGGGCCATTCACAGATGGTTTCTCATGTTTTATCTCCTTTCCCAAACCATCTGCCTTCTCTGGTCAGAATGTGGACATTACCGTCCTCAAAGTCTCCTTCAGACCTATCGAGTCTGGACCAGAGCATCTTGTTTTCCATGGTGTGCCAAGTTCGGATAGAACTGCTGCTTGGATTCTGCTTATATTATATATCTGCTTATAATATACCCACTATCCAGTTTAAACTGAAGACACATTTCAAATAAGATGTCAAACATCTTCCACGTCCAAGAAGTCCAGTTAGTTTTGTTCTTGCTATCATGGATGATTGAGAATCTACTTTTTCTGCACCTAACAATTCTAGTCTTGATACACAGAACAATAGCAAAGTTAGTCTGCCAAATGAGGACAGTCTCATTTAGGGCCTGAGTCTCGGGAGGTAAGCGTGGTACTAACCTGACTTGTTATCGAAGAATTTGATATGCCGATCTTCATGAGCGCTGATCGTAACCGGCAGCGTGGGATGACTCACCACTTTATTAATATGGTTCAGGGTCAGGAGGGCTGAGTAAGAGAGAGAAGATGACAACAGCTGGTCTATTATTTCCATGCCTCCAAAACTCTATTGTAAAAACTTTGTAAGTAAGGGCTGTCTGGGTTCTTACAGCTGTCTCCTTGTCCCTTCAGAACCAGGACCACTTGGGATGTCTCCAGGTCATAAACCGCAATGTCGCCGTTATTGAAGGACACCACAATGTGGGCAGGGTCACAACCGTTGAAGTCCACGGATGTGGGGATCCCGTGTTCTGCACACAGACATGAAACGAGTTGAAACTAGTGTCCTGTCACCTTTTTCCACCACAGAATTTCCGAAGCCCATTGAAGCCGATACCGTCCTGAGCTGGAACGAATAAAACTTTGTGACCACATGGTGTTCAAAACAGTGTTTGATATATAATTTCTACATGAGGCTATGCCACCAGCTTGCTTTTATAAACCCCGCCTGAATCCTGTTCCTGCTGGTGTTCTGAAGAAAATGTATCTTTGTATTTACAAAGTGTCTGATCATCTCTGATAAGATAATGCAGACTGGAGATATTAAGAAAATCCATACAATGTTCAAACCAATACAGTGTAGCATCGTTTGAAATTTCTCTCTAAGGTTGGCTAATTCTGATGTTGCTCTCTATCCTCTCACCGTTGTCGGAGTTGAATGTGCTGATGCAGGGCTCTTTCTCCATGGGGTTCCATAATTTCACCGTTCCATCAGCGGAGCAGGACAAGAGGCGGTTCTTGATGCCACTGTAAGCTAATCCCCACACAGCGTCGGTGTGCCCCCCCCACGAACCTGCCAGGACGCTGGAATCTGACGGAAGGAGGACAGGTTTGTTAACTCATTTTCATGTTTGCCTTAAAGTCCTGAAAATTTCCCATGATGACAAAGAAGAGCTACATCTAGAAATACTGAAAACAAAAACATTATGGACTTTTAAGATGTTTTAGGAATGCTATTTGTGTCAAGTTTCAAAATGTGTCAAAAAGGAAAATACGTTTATCCGATTAGGACATATTTACAAAGTGATGACACAACTGGCAAAACCTTTGAATCTTCTGTGTCATCAAATAAAGCCTAAAAACTGATTACTTAAAAATGTTTTGGACTATGACAACATATTAGGGTATCAAGATATTTAATGAAAGTGAGAATATTTCTGATTATAATGAGTCAGTGTGTGGGAAAAGTGAGGTGTACCATAGGTGTCGTAGGGGTCCACGTTAGAGCTGGGGATGTTCCACCACTGGATAGTAGAGTCAATGCCACCACTGAAACACTGTTCGCCACTGGAGGTCATTGCCAGCGACAACACTGGACCGCTGGAGACAGAAGATGTAGCAACATTAGGACTTGTGTTGGAGCTCTGGGAGAAACCACAAGCCACTGACCAGCCTTTCAAACACTGAAGGGATATTAATGTATACATGGAATACTATACTGCAGCTAACCTCTCATTTTTCCACTTATTGATTGTAGAGATATTTATTTTTTCAAATACTAATGTCAAAAAACGTACTTCAGGTATCTTAGCTGTATGTTAGACATTTCAATTCGATCACTGATTTGTGGATTGTTCTTTTCTTCCTGGTACTTCCAGCATATATTAGTGTCTGAAGTGATCCATTGGAATAAAACTCAAAAATACAACCCCAGTATTTTAAGTTGCCCTTTGTCTTAATGTCCCATATTTAATGAGCTGTTCAAAATCCTCTGCTTCCTTTGTCAAGCCCCACCCATTCACATCTGCATGGAAAGGTAGATGAAGAAGTTTCTGGTGAAAATGTTCTCCCATTAGTTGTACTGAGAAGCATGCAGCCGACTCAGAGGATATGAGTCCACTGTGTAAACGAAATCTGAGGGGAATGTTCCAGCCAGAATTAGCTAAAAATTCTGCAAAATGCGAGCACAAACAAAGTCTCACATTTGGAGCCTGTCCTCTCTTCACTCTGGCTGCAACATCGAACCACTTTAACTGTTGTTGGTGTGTTAGTATTACATTATTGGCATGTTTCTCATGAGTTTAACATATCCGGAATGTTTTAAAGGCTGTACACGTCCATTAGAATTATTCAGGCCTGGTCTGTAAGAGATCAATCAACTGCTTCCCTCTGGGATCGATGACTAGCCACCCTCCCTGGTCCAGACCAGTTTTATCCCAGAGACTCGATCATATTTTCACTAGGGCTATTCAATCTCACCCTTGGCTCCCTGCATTCTGGAACACCAACATCAACAGTGATGCACAACAGGTGGAGGTAGTGCACCTAAAGTTTGCTTTTCAGCCATGAAGAAGATGCAAAGCCTAGTTGATATCAGTGTTCAAGAAAGGCCAGAACTATGTCTGCAGATGCAAATGTTGGGAGTGGACTAAAACACATTTACACAAAAGAAAATTAAACTAATATTTTCTTGAATTTTACTTCAGTCAAAATTACATCTGTGAGTTAGGATTGAGGCTCTATTGACCAACAGGGTTGGTATTAAGCATGATCCCAACCATCCTGCCTTTGACCAGAATTTGCTTATATTTGCTTATAAAAAAGCATTTAATCGAGATTAATTCAAAACATTTTTCAATTGTGTACCACCACTAATTCGAACATGAAACTTTTTTACAATGCCCGAATAACCCAGTGATCTAAACCAAGTGAGAATGTCAAGACTACCGACACCTACAGTGGCAGTACTTCAGAGCCTAATTTCCTTTCATAAGACTTTAGCAGAAAGCCTCTTTTATGAGATTGTCGAATATGTTTGGCAGTCATAAATCAAAGCACGCTTACATTGCTGCATTTTGTTAGTGCACTGACCCTGTTAAGCTATTCAACACTCTTGAATGGACAATTTAATTTTTTAAAGATTTAAAGTGTGACATGTAATGTGTTGTGAGAGTTTAGATACATACACGTGACCCCGGAATGTGTAGATGGGCTCCACGTCAAAAGAGGCACTTCTGAAAAACAGAGTAAAATTAAATCATTATCATTAAAGGCAAAAAATGACACTATTTGTGAAAGCTAAGATGCAACCTGGAGTACTGTGGTAAATAAAATCCTAAAGAAATGCTTCTTGTTTATTAAAATGGATGATAATACCGAAGGACTTGCTAAGATGGAAAGGATTTGAACTACCAATAATTGTCATGATAAAGGGATTTTAAGTACAAAACCATCAAAGGCTGTGGTGGAACTGGCTTTGATAAGGACTGCACAAGAAACAGAAAACAAAGGCATGAAAGTGGATGAAGGCCTGAGCTAATGTCAAAGGAGAATCCTTTTTTCCGTAAAGGCGGTGATGTGATCCCTGTAAAGCTGAGTAACATGTTGACACTAAAAGCACAAACACTTAGCCAGCAGTTTTTGTGAGAGGAGTCAGGAGTCAGGCTGACGGTGGCCTACTTTTTGGCAGAGACGGTCTTGGTTAGGTTCCACAGTTTGAGGGTGTGGTCCTCAGACACGGTGACCAGACAGGGCTCAACGGGGTGAAATGCTAAAGCTCGCACTCCGTCAAAGTGGCTCCGCAGCGTGTACTTGGGGTTCCAAGTCTTCCTGAATGAAGACTCCTTACTAGATGACATCTGGGGGTGGGTATAATAAAGTAAATGTAAACTGATTCGTTAACGTTGGATAGTGAATGACAGCTGAATGAACTTTTCTCACATTATAGCCAAAGTCCGCTTCATCGTTGGTGACAGTAAGGTCAGCAAGGTCACCCAAGCCCAGCACACTTTCCAATACATCGTCCGAACCTCCTAATAAGAAGGGCTTCCCCCCTGCAGTAGGAAATGGTAGAGGCTCCGCTGCAGAAAGAGACACTTCAATTAATACCTTTTGCAGTCAGAGAAAATAAAGATGCAGTGATTAATACATTTCTTATTTCCTAATATATTTTCATTGAGAATATGAATGAAAATCCACAATGAGAATAAAAAATCCTGTAGTCCCTTTCGATCTAATGTTACTCGGTATAACAAGGAGGCTCCAAAACTGACAAATAGGGTTGTCATTTTTCTTCTCCCTGCTAAGTGCATCTGACAAACTTGGTCCAAATAAAGACAGAACAAAACAAAAAAAAAACAAAGGAGATTTGTGCGTTCACATCAGAAAAGTTCTGACATTCAGAAACTAGAAGGCTGGTTCAATACACCCTGCTGCAGGACACTGTGTTTTCTGACCATTACAGGCTCTAAACAGGTCAGGCTGTAGCTCAGGGAAAAGAGCGGTTATCTGCCAATGGGTCAGTCGCCGGTTCAATTACAGACTACATGTCAAAGTGTCTTTGGGCAACAGACTGAACCCAAGTTGCCTAAATGTATCTGCATCCTGTATTCTTATAAAAATGTCTGCTCAGTGCAAACAAAAACAAAAAAGGAATACAGTCTTCTTCTGAAAAGCAGCTGACTGGGATTTGTTTGGGTGTGCCCACGGTCAAACAATTGGTTTGACATATCACTTTCAGATTTATCATCTCTTGATCCATATTACATTTTTTTAATGGAAATATTTCCCACTGAATTAGCAGGAAATTCTCTGGTTTAGCAAGCCCAACGTTCCAAATATTAAAGTATTTTATTGTCATATGCGCAGTAGAAGCACATTTCATTGCACATTGAAAATCTTACTTTTCTGTCTGCAAGAATACTGGTAAAGATGGTCAAAACCAAAAGGTAAGAAATGCAAAATAGCTTAGAAAAGTTTAGGAAAGTGCTATGTATAATCACAAATTAACAGAAGAAAAATGAACAAATATATACAGTATATACACTGAATGGTGCAAATCAAAATTAGTCAGCATGTACTGTGGTTAGCTTTAATGGGGTCTGATGGCTGTGGGGTAGAAAGAGTTCGTGAGCTTGTTTGTCCTGTGTTTCACACTTCTGTACCTCCGGCCTGAGTTAAAAACAATGCACGTTCCATCTTCCATGACAGAGGCAACTCTCCTGTGCTAAACTTGCTAAACTTCATGAGCCTCCACAGAAAATACAGCCGCCATTGAGCTTTCTTCACCAAGTCGCTTCATGGTCACCGGTGTAACTGTTCTGTTCTGAATATCTCGATGATGTTCTCCTTTTGGGAGGCATCACAGTTGTGGGTGAAGAGAGTGTAGAGGATAGAGAATAGAGGCTAGAGGGTGTAAAGGACCACAGAATAGAGGATAGAGTTGAAGATGCGCCCCATGTGATCACACTAGCTGAATTCAGGCAGTCACAGAGGGTGGGTACAGGGGGTCTGGCATGATGCTTTAAATGTTGGCCAGCATCACGTCCTTAAAACACTTCATAGGGATTGAAGTGAGTGCAACTGGTTAGCAGTCACTCGGGTAGGTAGGTGGGCTCCTCTTGGCGAGGGGGTCGATGGTTGTGGTCTTGAAGGAGGGGACCGTGCTCTGGATGAGGAAGAGATTGAAGATGCTGGTGAGAACATCTCCAAGATCGTTGGCATGTGCTTGACACTAAAGTTTAGGTGCAGCAGGACGGATGTCGTCCCTGCAGAAGCAGTGCAGCTTCTCACTGTGCTGCTTCTGAGATGGCTCTTATAAATCCATGCTTTACACTCCATCTCAACGACAGACTGAAATGCAGTGTGGCAAGCACGCAGCGTCCGTCAGACCCAACGGTTGATCCTGGGCTCGGGTTGGGGAAGTTCTTCATTCATTTGTAGGGCATGATGTTGTCGGTACAACAACTGACAGAAGGACCCCCCAGTGTGGATGAAGGTTTGAAAATATCCCAGTCTGTTTGGGTCCTGCATGGTTCTCTCAGTCTGTGGTGTCCAAAGTTGAATTAGTTTCAAAGCAGTTAGTTTCTGTTTGACTGTTCCAGGTACAGGAAAAGACAGATGTGGTCCGAGAGTCTGACATGGGGGCGGGTGCAGTCTGGTATCCACCAAGTTTGTTGCTGTACATCTAATCCAGCATGGTCTTGTCATGGGTTGAACTATTTGCAGGGTGATAATAGTAAGGAAATACAGTCCTTAAGTTGCAATGGTTGAAGTCAACGGCAACAGAAGAATCCATGTCTGGAGGAGCCGTCTCTCGTTCACTGATGATAGAGCTCCACGACTGGTGAATGGCGTTTATGAACAATCCTTACAACCCCACAACACCAGTTGTCCTCAAACACATATGGGTTTCCATGACTGAACATCTTACCCCACTCTGTTCCGTCTCCAGAGCTACGCGCTTCCCCGGCCCCTTCTCCATCCTCGGCTGTAACCAGGAAGTCGAATTCCTTCAGGGCCTCCTCTGTATCCGCATCGTCCTCTGTCGCTAGGCCTTCGTTTCCAACCTGAAGGAAGAGAGAAGACAAAGAAATCAAGGAAAGAAGCAAAGAATCCCGCGCATGGGGAACTCGGCGTCAGAGTCCATACCCTGGTCTTGTGTTTTTTGGCTCTGTGGTGCTTGTCAGTGCTGATGTCATTCATCAGGTCTCCCTCTTCGTCTTCGTCCTCATCGCTATCTTCTGCATTCTCTAGAAAGTTGAACGTCTCTAGATCGTCACTTGGAATCCTGCACACAAAACATTACTTACATGCTCACGTATGAAATGGGATTGGACATCTGAGGACACAGGAGTGTGTCCTTCAGACAGGGTACAGGCCTGTGTCTGCTGAGGTAAATCAAAGCTTGATGCGAAGGCAGGGATCGCCATGGAAACATGAGCAAAGGGCCTACCTCTTACTGTCTTTACAGCGCTCTGTTCCATTGATCAGGTGCTGCAGGTTTTTGTTCTCTACTGCTCCGTTCTGCTCGGATCCTGACAGTCCGAGCAGAGAGCGGACCCTCTGGGTCCGAACGTCCAGGATTGTGTCCGTGTACCCAACTTCCTGAAGGTATCTGAACGCCAGGTAAACCAACACAGTGTGAGAAATTGCAGCTCTAATGCATACGGTTTTTAATGTGTGTGTTAAGTTTCAAAATGTACAATAATAGAAAAAAACGTTTTTAATTTCAATGATCTGACTGATGCTTGTAGGTTTTATGATAAGAAATTCTTGAATGTTGGTTATATATATATGTATATCTATAAAAACTGATACTCTTACTGTCTGAGTAGCTGCCGTCCTTGTTTCCACGTGAGCTGACTGTTGGCAGGAACAGCAGAGACCTCTGACTCTTTGGTGTCTGCAGGACAAAAACAGAAATACTGGTGAGGAAAGAGAGAGAGAGAGAGAGAGAGAAAGAAAGAAAGAAAGAAAGATGCAAAAAAGACTTGGATAAAGAAAATGCACCTAAGCTGCTTCCCCAAAACCAAATCAATTTAACTTAAAAGTCTGTTGGTCTAAAAAATCTGTGTGACCAACCAAAAACCTGTGGTCCATAGACGGGTCCTGATATTTACATTTTTTTTATGTGCACAGACTAAAGGTTATTTGTCTTTATTTTGCACCAATTGCCTTTGACAGTTATTCACCTTTATCATTTGAACCTTGTAGAAGGAAAATTAAACAAAGCATAAATGAAGTGTATGACAGTAAGAAATGAATATCTGAATATCATGTGTTAAGCATATGGAGACGCTGATTATTCACAGACAGCTGTGGCCCACTAAAGAGCGGCTTGGACAAAAATAACCAACAGGGAGTTTTTCATAAACAACATAAGAGAGACATACGAGACTGAAGAGGGTAGAAGAAGACCGATGAGGAAGATTCAATTCATTTCTGGTACAAAAGATAAGAAAAGGTTCTTTATCTATTGCCTACCCGATTCAAAGCTTGGCATCTTCATCTCTCCTTGGTTCAACTCTGTTCCGTATTTTAACTTGTGATACTTTGCTCTGTGGAGGAAAAAACATGTTAACCTTTACATATGTGTATAAGTAGAAGACCATGGCAGCAGAACAAATCCCAACAAACGTGTTAAAAAATATTAAAAAAAAACCTTACTTGGATTGGACTTAGCAATTGGACATATTTATTTGAAAAGCCCTAATAAAATAGATATGACTGCTTTATTACTGAAAACGAAGGAATTTGGAGGTTCTGTCACTCCCACAGATAATATGATGTCATGTCTAAAATAGCATATTAGACATCTGAAATCCTGCTAGCAAAAAATGACTTAGCTACTGGACTTGGCTAATGTTATATGAATGCTTAAAAAACTGAACTATAGAGCCATCCTTCTCACTGGCTAAGCTTTGGTTTCTGAATACCGTCTGAGGTTTCTTACCTTTCCTGCTTTAAAGCATATTCTAACATTTTAATTCTTCTAACAAGGTCGTTCTTCAGGTTCTCCTGGCCTTTCCTCTCCCCCTGTAGGAAGGCTATTCTGGCCTGGAGAAAGACAGAAACACAAGACGTGAAAGAGGTGTTCAAAGTATCCGGTCTGCGAACGCTGACTAAATGATTTGATTAGTTTTTATGGAATTGATCGTCTTAAAACTAAAGACTAACACAGCCTGGCACTCTAACCCTCATCAGAAGAGATTTCAGGGGAATGTAACTGGGGCTGAGCCCACTGAGGAGGACTGGAGGGTCAGTGAACACCTGTCTAGATTATCTTTGGCGCGTGCTGTCAGTCAGTTGAGTTTTCTTTCTCGAGCTACTGAGGAACGCATGCAAAAGAAGAGAAAATGAAAGTCTCTCATCTGTCCCCCCCGACAGGAACAGCACAGTAACAACACATTCACGTGTGATGAACAAACTGAAGGCCAGCCCATAATTACGATGTCAGAGAACGACATTCTGGTGAGGTGGAGCTTATTGGAAAGCTTGTACAATTCCAGTCGTCATTGCAATGTTTTCCAGTGCCGCTCCATTTGGCATCAGTGGTACATCAGCTGTGTTGTGAATCCAAAAGCAACGAGGTAAACGGCAACTTTCTCCATCCGTAGATGCAGGTGGAACATCAGAGATGCTGTTTTTGTTTTTATTCTACTTGGACTGGTGAAGAAGAAGCAGCTACTTACAGCAACTTAGTACGCAAACACAAAGTACCAAACATTTTTCCTTGCAATGAAAATGTTACTTTCATTCTTTTGTATCTTGAGTGAATTAACCAGCAACGCAACATGTAGCAAATGTATGACAAAATGTATTTAAAAAGATATTTAGGGGGGACAGGTAAGAGCAGAGACAAGTCAGCAGATCAACATACAAGCTGCTATTCATTTGAAATTAAATTTAACAAAATAACAGACTGAAAATGAATGCTAATTCTTTAAAAGAAAAATTCAAATAAAAGTAGTATATGTACATCTATTAGGGCAAAATGTGATCATAAAGAGGTGGCACACAGTAAGAGGGTTCCTGGGTCGAGTCCCCAGGGCCTTTCTGTGCGAGTTTCCTCCCACCACCCTAAAATGGGAATTTCCAAAGTAACCCCTGGAGTGTGTGTGTGTGTGTGTGTGTTGTTGTTTGTCAGTCTCTGTGTAGACTCGCAGGTGACCCTGCCACTGGGATAGGCTCCGGCCGCCCATTGGGAATAAGCTGGATGTAACCAGACCATTCCGTTGCCACCAAAAGCCCTACTGGAAAGTTTTTGGAAATGTGCAGAACTTTCTGTTAGATACCAGCAACCATAAATGATCCTTTGTCCCAGCTAGGACTTTTTTTTTAATTCAGCAGAGAACTAAAAGACATTGACAAAAGATGAAAAAATAAGCAACTATAGTAATAGCAAGTTGAGGAGTATGAGCTCCTTCAATCAGTCCCACTTCCAGTTTTGTCTTCCTATTTTTTTTTTTTAAAGCTCCCCATGTGCGACATCTGACATTTAGGTCACACATCACCTCTTGCAAACGGGAGTCAAGTCAGTTCTCCCGGCAACTCCGAATGTAGAGCGCTTAGGGAGATGAGCGGGGTCAGAACGCCCCGGTGATGATGACACTGAAAGGTTGCAAAGGTGTGTGTGTGTGAGAGAGAGCGAGCACTGATGTCACCTATCCATATTTAACAAGCTTACAGATGAGGCCGGGGCTGTTAAAGAGAGTGAGTCATTGTGGGGAATTCCTCTGAAGGCCTGCATCGCTGATGCACAGACGCACAGATTTGCCTGCCATCCCAGTGGGGACCCTGGATCTGAGTCGCATTCTACTCTGAACCCCAAGACGGCATCCTGTCTCAAACTGTCACACTCCCACGGGTCTTCTTAGAAAAAGTAGCAGAGTAGTAAAGGTAGTAAAAAAAAATATATATATTGAAAAAAGTCATACAAAAAGACTAAAATAACAGCGACCATCTGAAATCCTCTATTTATTTTTTGTGACTGACCTGGAGCTGAAGCTTAGCCGCTGAGTGCGGGTATGTGTGTGTGCATTGGCGGTTATTTTGGAGCACTTCTACTTTTAGCTTTCAGCTGGGATCGAGCCGTCAGAAGAAGGGCCCAGCAGGCCTCGGCTGCCTAATTACAGCTTCCTGTTGGACAGTCCTGCCCCCTTTTAGCAAAACGTGGAGTCGGGAGGCGCTTGAAGTTGCTCGGTGGACGGCACGCGTCCGATCGGACCCACAATAACGTGTCTGCATTACTCTGACAGCTTTTTAAACCAGAAAACACATAAAGTAAGGCGTGCTTTTTATCAGCCACGGGGATCACAGTGAGGTCAGGTTGTGAAATGAAACAGCTAAAGTCAAACAAGCATCCAGAGAAAAATGTCTGTATTTCGTTGTCATTTAACTAAAATCAACTTTTCGCTTTAAATCTAAACTGCACTGGTGAAATAACTCCATGTTTTCCAAGTTTATCGTCTTGAACTTCTCAACCCTGAAATATTTTGCAATCAATGGAGAGGGCACTTCTTTAGACTTTTTATCACCAAGAACTCTTGACAAATGCAGTCATGACGGACTAAATATGTACGTATAATACAATTATTTTCTGAAATTTTGAACAGATGCTCCAAAATGTTGCTAGTCTGGGGGAAAAATGTCTGGAGCTCTGCTGTAAGGTGTGGTTAAAAAAACTTCAGAAAGGTAGAGAGACCTTTCCAAGGGAGTCATTCCAAATAAGCAACGTCAACAACGGGCTAAAGCCTCAGCATCTGCACAGCAGGCTCGACTCACTTCGGAAAAAAGACCAGCATCAATTACTACACTTCCAACTTGTGGACTACTGAAGACAAACAGATTCACGATTCCTCTCAGACATTCAATTTCACTCCGTATGAAACTCTAATCATGGACTTTACAATAAGCATACAAAACAGCAGTTATTTATGCCTGCGCTGGTGAGCCAGAACCATACATAATGATCTTTCAAATGAATAAAACTAGGCCTATAAGACAACTCAAATCTGAAATCAAAGTCACCAAATTATTCACACCATCACATTCCTCTCTGATGATCGGCCCGGGTGATGCGGACCACAGATTAGCGCATAAACTGTGACAAAGTATGAGGCATCAGGCCGACCGCTGTAAACATTTCAACACCGTGGCGACACTTCTGCATAACGCTGTGTGATGGATGCGCTGGCTCTGCTGGAAGAGCCTACGAATGGAGGAATTATGAAGTGATCGCCAAGATTTCCCTGGACCGTGATGATGAGTGAAAACTGGTTCTTAGCAGCACAAAATGTAGCCTAGAATCAAACAATCAAACCACTTTTAGGAACAACACAATTCAGTGAAATTATTCATAGGTCTAGGATATCAAAGTGCATCCCCTGCTGCCCTGGATAGCTTTGTTAATATGACCAGTGGATACATCAGATTTTCTACACTGTGGAGGAAAAGGCCGACAATAATAGTATTCCAAAGGTGTAACAGTGTGTTAACACACACTTATTTTCATTTGTATGGCCATTTCTGTAGCAAAAAATACATTTTTTTTTACTGTCCACCTCACTTATCAACACATTGGTGGTGAAAATGTGTTTCTTTGCCCTTTTTTCCATGGTTGCCCCTGGTAATGATTAAATAACATTGATCAGCTGTCTTATTTAAATAGACACTGACCTTCATCAGGTGCTTTGCGTCGAGCGTTTATGGTTGAATGTGGGCGTGCAGAGGGCCGAACCTTGAAACAAACATTGAGTTGCAGCTATGATTTAAAGGGTTTAATTATTTTTTTACCCAGTTTTATGAATGATACCCCTGAATTCTGTAATGGCAAATTCAGACATCCGTATATGTCCTGTTCAAAGATTTCTGTCCCCAATATCAGTCAGTCTTTTAACAGAGTATCTGCTGATAGGAAATATAAGTTTAATACGTTCACCAAATATGTACTCAGCTAAAAATCACAGCAGGTTTTTAATCTACTGTTAGAATTTTGAAAAAACTTTTCAGACAAAATTATAACAAGAGGGCAGTAAAAGCAAGCAGTTCTTTATGATGTGCTCTCTTTTAGGTCACCAACAAGCTTTTAGGTATGGATAAAAAGAAAGACACAAACCTGAAATGACAAATAAGAGGGACACTCCCCTCTGTCGCTGTAACCCGTCACGTAATGACAAGAATCAGCTCGTAAAGTTGCCTTTACTGGGTCCGACCACGCTTACAAGGTTCCACCTGGCATTCAAGTGAAAGATGTTTATATGAATCTGTGCTCAGGACACAGATGTTGGGACTGATTTTAAGTGACACTGCATGGGTCAGCAGGACTCTTTTTCTTTTTTTTTTTTTGTCCTGTTGATGCGATATATCGCAGCTGTTGTAAAACTCAAGTGTGAACATCTTAGGCCTGCACCTGTCTCCGTTTATCTGAATTTTTGAGGCAAGCAAACCCCCCCTATTTTTTGTTCCAACCACTATCACTTTATCATAACTTAAAACTTAATTATGATTCAAAAGAAAAATGCCCCAGTAAGATTAAAACCAAACTCAAAGCTACTATTCGGTCAATAGTGAGCTGCCTGATGACAACAGTGCTGGTGCCAGCTTACCCTTCAAACCCTGTTTCTCCTCTGTTATCAGCTTTCTTTCCATGGATCAACTCTCATGCCACATTGCTGCTTATACAACATTAGATAGGCAATAAAGGCACATGTTTCTTAGCTGGAAAGACATGCCGTGTTAGTATCCAACCCAGGGAACATCTGCTGGAAAAGTTGTACTGACTTTCTCTCTAGCTCCATTTGGTTGTCATGCTGAGTTTTCTTTCATTTAAAAACAGTAAGGAAAAAAGGAGAGATAATCCTTCTGAATTTAGCAGCTGCATCGGACCACCGATTTAATGGGAAAGCCTAACTATATGCAAGTGTGCGCAGCTTGTTGCTCCGACACAGGTCTCATCCACAGCTGCATTTTTACTTTGAAGACAAAAATTCATTATGTTCTGCAAAGGACTTTATGGTACATTTCTCATTTATTTATTCAGACAAACACTCTTAACTCTTTTTTATTTATTTAACACTGTATGTGCAATAGCACAAGTCATATGTGTCTAGAATATTTCAGTAGATTTAGCTTTGACTTTTATTCACAATGCCTGTACATATTCAAACAAATCTTTCCCTGATGTGAAAAGTGGATCATCTTTCTACAAAAGATGACCAAATAAACAAAAAGTTCATGGATTGCAGGACAAGAAAAATGTGTTACTCTAAAAACAGTATAACTGTCATTTTGGTTTCACATTTATTGGCTTATTTCATCCCAGAGGCTGGGTACCACTGGTCTATGGCATGATTATTATTTTTATTGATTTATTATTACTGTTTTGATGCCAAACTTTTATCGACCTAGTTGATGCTACAGAGATGTAGCCTTAATCGAGCTCTTTATGAGCTTCATGTCTCCATTAGTGGACATTTCAGCTCTTCGCTTTTAACAAACTTAAACAAAACAAGGATACATTTATAAGACACTGGTCTCTCAGCTTTTATGTTTTGAATCGTACTGCCCCTGAACTACCGTAAAACACCAACTGGCTGCACGAATCACTTTCAGGCCTTTAAAACCATTAGCCACACAGCTAACCGGGCTAATGTGACAAGCCAGAACAGCCCAGAGTACTTCTCTTCTTCTGTCCCAGTCTACATCTAATCCACGGGGTTTCGACGCCACGGTTTTAACAACACAACACAGGACAAAGTGGCTAGCTTGTCACCGAGAAATAAATCCCTGTACGGTTAGCTGACAGCTGCTTTACGGCAGCGGTGTGCATCCCGCAGCTAGCCCGTGTAGCTAAGCGGCTAACTGCTCGACCCGTAAGACCACAGAGCTCCAGGACAGACCGACCGGCTGGTTGGTTCGCGTCCCCCCCCCCCTCGCATCCTCCTTTTCAAAATGCCACCCTGACACCAAAATGCTAAACTCAACAAACACACGCTCTCCTTTTTGTTTATAAGTCGTATCGGGTTTGAGTCGGTGCTAAGCTAATAAGCGACTAACCTGGAGCTCAGCCCTCTCTACCTCCCAGTGAGCCCTCTCCATTTCGAACCGGGCCCACTCGTGCTGGATGTAGTGCAGGATCCCGGGGATGGTGTACTGCTGCTGGGGCCGGGGCAGGTCGTCGGTCGGCTGCGGCACCATAACCGTTCCGGCCGACGGATTAGCACCGCCGCCGCCGCTGCTGCTGCAGCCCTGCTGCTGCGGCGGCTGTCGCTGAGCGGCCGCTCCTCCTCCGCCAGGGTGCTCGTCCATGTTTTATTATTGTTATTATTATGTAGATTTTTTTTTCCTACGACCGTTTAAAAATTAGATTTATGCTTGCCGAAAGGGGACGATAGATCGCCCGTATCCCCACCGACGCGATCGGCACCGCCGCGGTGAGCGAGGCTGGCTGCCCCGGAGAGCTTCGGCGACTGCGGCTATGCGAAGGCGCTGTTTACGTGTGGATCTAACCGGCCGCCATCATCACTCTCTGGATGTGATAGTCACGATGGGAGAATCCAGGCGCACTGCATGATGGGACATCCATCTTCCTTTTCAATCCCTGGATTTACTCGGAGGTTTGGACAAAGTGGGTGGGACTATATAGTTAAAGTTTCTCTCTTTCAGTTAAAATAATTAAAAATTATCTTCTTTTTGTCGTGTGTCGTCCTCCTGTTTTTAATTCTAAAATACTGTCTGATTTAAAAAAAAATTAAATAACTTTTGATTACAGATTATATTATTGTAGAGGATGACACATTCATGTAAATGTTGAAAATAATTATCTAAATATGAACTTTTTTTCTATATTAAATTCTTCTGGATTTTTACAGAATGTACGCTGTCATACTCTGATGTGCTGATTTATGACATTGAGAGTGAATATGTGTTTCCTCATAATCCTGTTTCATCAGACCATCGTTCTTTTTTTCAACATTTGAGTTTACATTATTTTACTAAACAACCAATTCCAACTAGACCATTCAAGGAAATGTTCCCTGTAATTAACAATACGCTATCAGTTTAGATCCATCAGTCTTTGTTGATAGGCTATGTACTGCAGATATTTCAGTTTTGTGTGATTTAATCTTTACTTTAAAGATCTATTTTCAGATATATATAGAAAATACCCTTTTGTATCTAACGTTCTTGCAGAAATGGTTGTAGTTCAGTTTTGTGATCATTCGAACAGAAAAGGTCTGTTTGAAGATCATTAATCTGGATTCAGTGTCTGTTATTGTACAGAAACAGCACAGCTAAAAGTTACGAATGATCTCTCAGCTTGTCACAGTGGACTTGTGTTTGTATTGGTTCTGTTGAATCTCCGTGCAGCATCTTATAGCATTCCATTTCAGAAACTCAAACATATTATTGGTAATAAAGGGACTGTGTTAGCCTAGTTTAGGTCATGTTTATCTGATAGATTCCGGTTTGTTAATGTAACTTAAGAATCTTTCATCCAAACCGAAGTCATGGAGTTCCTCTGGGTTCTCTACTTGGACTAATTCTAATCATTTTAAAAATGCTTCCATTAGGCAACATTATTAGACAGCATGGCATTGTTGTTGTTGTTGTGCCGACAAAACTTGGTAATAGTGATATATCAAGGTGAAACCTATCAGTTGGTTAAACTACAAGCATGTCTCACAGTTTTTGCTTCTCTTCATTGGCTCCCTTTTAAATTCAGAGTAGATTAAATTTTGGAATGACCAAGCTCTATCATTTTCAAAAGGGCTCATAGTTTAATATTTCAGTAGAATATCAGTGAAGTCTTTTGGTTTCCCTACTTTTCTTTTCTACCATTTTCTTTTTACACAGGCTCTGTTTGAATGATTTTACTGCAATGATTTAGAGTCTAACTTGCTTGTATCTCTAAACTGCCAAGAGATGAAAACTGATTGGTGCTTTATAGGTAAAACTGTACTGAATAATGAATAGTGAGGCCATTATCATAATCAAAGTGGATACGGTTATTATGCTACTGCAATGTTTGAGCCATCTAATCTGGGTTTTCCACCAGTACCTAATCAGCACAGGGCTAAATGACCCGTGACCATAATTATAAGTGACACAAGCTAAACACAACATGGCGACGATGCTACTGGCTGAATTTCAGCTTTGGGCCATGATGTTACTTGAGGTGTTAGACGTTTCTAACACTGATTATCTTGGAAATAATTAAATTGGCGGGGTTCAAAGGAAGGAGTCACTTATAGAATCATGTGACTCCTTTGCCAATCAACCTGGGAGACTTCCAATTGCCCAGCAGTCTGCCACTGGTCCTACTCATTCCTATTGTAACCATCGAGACGGAGCTAAAACTCAGTTGTAACTGTTGTAACCTGATGGAAACACCAAAAAATAGGACTAGAAACTAGTTGAGCCTCTATATATGGGGGAGGGGGGGGGCATATTTGATGCCCCGTTGGATCAGTTTGGGATGTTGGGAAAAGCTTTCCCTCTGAAGAAGTATATGCAGTTAGGCGGTGATTGTCGAGCCCGGTTTTTTTTTTTTTTTTTTTTTTCATGTCTTGGTTTTGTCATTTCCTGTTTTATTTTGAAATAATAACTCTCCTTTTGTTTCTGGTTACTTGCCTTTCGTCTGGTGCCAGTCTGTCTTCCCTAATTCCTAATTGTGTCCACCTGTTCCTCGTTATCCCTCATGTGTCCTTATAGTCCGGGTCACTCCATGTCTTGTGCCAGATCCTAGTCAGTACTACAAGTATAGTCGTCAGTGTCACAGCCTTCCTGGTTTTTGCATCAGGTCTTGTCTCTTTTTTTGTTTTATTTTGTTGTTTTTTCTTCTTTTTAGTTAATTAGTCCGTTTTTTTTTTGTCCCATGAATTATTATATTTTCTCCTTCCTCGGTCCTGCATAATGGATCCTTCCTCAACAAACCGTGACAGTTATTTAATCAAATCCTTTCTTTGTTCAGTAGAGGTCACACAGACCTGGGTGGTACTCAGTTGAATACAAATGGGGTCTAAACAAGAATTGCAATGCCCATAAAGATACATCCAGATAGTTTTAATTGTCCCTTTTTAGCAATAATTATCAAACATCTTTGGTTTGTATGAAGAAGTAGGGTGGATGTAGTTTTTTAATACAATACAGGAAACTATCTTGCTCACGCTTATTGGTTTTCTTTTATGGGTTGTGGTGAAGTTGTGGATTCTGGCATGTCCCACTTTCAAGTTTTGGTAGAGTAATTTGTGGTTTCTTGGGCTAGTTTTGCTTTCTGTCTTTTCTAGTGGTTGTTCTTTCTTAGTTACTTTATCTCAGGCTTTGATGCTCTTAGAGGTTTTGTATTTGAGCCATTTCAATCTTAGTTTTTCTATTCTGGTCATTGACTACACTTTTCTTACCTGTCCTCAGCGTGTTCTTTGTTGTAGAGTTTGTATGTCCCCTATGTGTATGTGCTGGTGATCTCTGTGTATGCTATTTTTCCTCTAACTTTCCCTGAGAAATGAATGTGAACGTCTGTTGTTCATCTGTTGTAGCCCTGTGATGGACTGGCAACATGTCCAAGGCTTATGTTACCCCTCACGCACTGACAGAACAGGCATCAGTCCCCCTGTGACCCTAATAAGAACAAACAATATAGCAAACAGTTGGATGGATATTTCTCCCTGTATTGAGGATCCACACTCTGGCTGCTCTTCATTAGCTTTCCCTCTGATAGAAATATTTGCCCAGTCATGGACTCAGCAAACCCATCGAAAGTATCTAAGCAATCATGACCAGAAGATGACCTAGTTATGTTAGAAGAATAACATACGTTATGTGGTCCTACAAAGCGCATTATTGTAGTGTCTGAAGCCCACAGAAGGCTACGGACTGTCCTGCTGGAAAGCACGGCCACCTGAAATAAACACATTCTTAACATGCAGTGTCGAGGAGAGCTAAGTACCAGGAACGGAGATGAACAGACCCAAGGTTGACCAAAATGGGAGGACAGGCTATCATTTCCAGACCCATAGCAACAACGGTAAGGATGAGACAGCAGAGTTTTTTTTCCTGAAGCATCTTCACCCGAGCTATTTCAAGATGACCATCTCCACAAACACCACATTATGCTGTTGCCAGAGGACTGAGACCTAAGTCATAGACATGCTTGAATAATGTGAGGCAAAAGGCAGTGTCCATCCTTTTGCTCTGCACGGTTTCTATCCCCAGTGGCTCTATCTCTGTCTCAGCTGTTTCCCATGGCTCTGTCTCCATCACCATCATCGCTGCCTTAAAAAATATAGCTTCCCAGCAAGCCCACTGAGTGGGATCTCTGCCAGCCCAGCAGTCCGGATGGTTTCTTTTCTGACGGGCCCAGTAATGCGTAAAAATGTGTAGGCTCTGTAAAGAGATCTACAGATGAAGCCTCAGTAGCCTATGTTTATAGAGAGGAAGCACATTCTCCAGTCCACTCACTGGCACTCCTCGAATACTGTACATCCTGGTTTTTGGCCCGCTTACCCTCCTCTTCATGTTCTTCCCGGGAAACCATCAATTTATTTAGAGTGGAGCTACTGAGCATACCTCAGACTTAGCCCAAAATCAACAACTGGCAACTGCTACAATTCTTCGACTTACTTAGGGTCTTTCTTGATCTAAATTCCCGTTCTGCCCTCTGCAGCTGTTTTTTCTGAGGTCCTGTGTCTTTTCTAAAGGCTAACTACTTAGGTCCTTAAAAACCTACCTGTACACTCAACACCAACATACTGGCAATGAAGAGCTGTAATGACGGTAGATACTTTTAGGGGTATTAAGAATACACACTGATTTATCACCTGCATGTGAGCTGAAATGGACAGTAAAAATAGAAATGAAGATAAGAATAGGAATGGAAATTTAAATCAAAGGATGGAATACAAATAGAAAAAAATCTAAATGAAGATGAATACAAAATAAAAAGAGTAAAATAAAAATGACAAAAATGTTTGTAGGTAAACATAAAAAATCAATGATGTATGAAGGTATCTAAATTCAATACAAAATCACAGTGTATCATCTCATCCAAAAAACCAAACCATTCAATCAATGATGACTATTTCTATACCAAGTTTGCAACTATATAAAAAAAAACAATATGTAAACTATCTTGTGCAGAAGTCCCTGTGCCATTCTAAAAGCACGGTACATATTACCAAGAAAAGTGCCATATTTGCACAATATTACCTCAAACTCTAGGAAGTGCTCTTTGTAACATTCATTTGAACATGGTAATAAAGAAAATTATTATGTAATTAATTTTCAAAATGCCTACTGTAAATATATCTATTCTCAGGTGTTGTGTGGTCAAAAAATGTAAATCCAAATGTTGTCAAAAAATGTTTGGATAAGACAGGATTAAGGGGAAACAGTCAATTGCTCACTCTCAATGCTATAAATCAGTATAAATCAATATTTATCAAGAGCATGATAAATATTCTGATAAAATCAATTGATTCTACATAGAAATTAATTAATGAGGCTATTTTTTGTTTTGACAGAACTCTCACAAGAGAATTTTCTGATATCCACTTTGGATGAGAGGAACTGAGAGTCAGAGATTCAAAAGAGCAAACACTAGCCCTGGGTTTGGACTGATTAGTAATTTAGATTTGAAGATAATGCCGCTCCTCCTACTCTTTCTGTGGTTGCAGGAATGTGAAAAACTTTGTTTGTTTCACACCTTCCCACAGAGAAAAGTGTAAGACAACAACTCTGCATCCTGTTATCAGCCTTCGCCTTCCATGGGTTGTCATCTCTTTGGATAACGAATACATTTGCGCCAATATTTTGTTATGTTTGTTAATTTATCTTTGAACACTTTCTGTATTTTTGTGTGTGTGTGCTGAAAGAACGTTCTTTTTTCAACTTGAATCGCCTTCATTGTTTTATTTATTAATAATAATATAAAAAGTTGCAAAAAATAAGCTTCACAAAAGATCAGAGCTTTCCATTTGACTCTTGTAAACCACATTTCTAATATAAAATGCAACGCATAAATGGACAAATGAAAGAGGTTTCTAATTGCTACCTTGACTTTTAATCACTGATGACAGTTAATGGGCTTTATTTCTAGAAATTATCGGCTTTTTGCACATGCATTATTGAAGTAACTTCTGTTCTCCCTCTCATCCAATGCAGCTTTTTCCCTTCTTTTCCAAAGTTAACTGGGGGAACAGAATATTTCAGCCTCTCTGAGACAATGTGTGTCGGGAGCTCGCACATAGACGCCAGTGGGAACTGAATTTGGTGAAGGGAGGGAGCCGGTTGCCATGGTACGCTGCTTAAAAATAGGTCCGGTGATTTTTAATAACCAAAGAACAGTTGAAGGTCCCACACGAGAGTGACCGCTACCCATGGCTGCAGGAAATGTCAGTTCAACAAATGTCCAGAAGATGGCGGTAATGCTTCTAGCGGGACGCTGCTCGCTGTGAAACGGAAACCCGCGAAGAAGAAAGTGGTGTCGCTTCAAAACATACACCGTCATCCACAGAAACAGGCAGGAAGTGGGTGCCAGGGCAGCTTTTCCGTTCCGGGGGCTCGTTTACCAAATAACCGGGGGTAAGTGAAACATGATAGAACGTTTGTGACTAGTAATGCCGAAATTAAGCTTTTCTGGAAGGCCAGCGAGTTCTGTGGTAACTGGCCGCGGACTGCCCGGCGGGGGCCTGGGCGGCCACAGCTTTGCTTGGGACCACTGTGTTTACGTGGAGAAAAAAAAGAAGAAAACCTGGAGTATTACACACAGAGGAGTTCCTCTGTAAAAAAACAAAAAAACAGCAACTCAAATCCGCTGTTTCAGCCTTTAAAGATGGAGGCAGGAGCTCCACCATTCAGAGGCTTGGAGTGGAGCCACTACCCCCATATTGAAAGAGAGGGTTCATCTGGTCAGGATACTCCATGGTTCCTCCCACTGGGGGTTTTCAGAGTTTGTCCAACTGGGAGGAGGCCCCCAGGAAGACCCAGAACTTACTGGAGTTATTATACATCCTATCTTGGCTGGGAATGCCTCAGGATCATACAGGAGGAGCTGGAAAGGCGAATTCCTGGATATAACTCCTTAAATTGTTGGCTCTGAGAGTTCTGATCAGAGGAGGAAGATAGATAGATAGATAGATAGATAGATAGATAGATAGATAGATAGA